TCAGGCCATCATGTTTACGGACCTGATGTGAAAGAATGCAGCTGGGTTGTTGGGTTGTGCTGATTGTGTTGCTCGGCTGTTGCTATGGGATCTCAGGCGGTTGCTAAGGTGTTGCTAGGCCATTGCTCTGGTATCCCAAAATTATAGGCAACACTAATAAATAAAGAAATTTGCATCTTTAGGGGGTAAAATATTTGCTAAGGTGTTGCTAAGCAATTACTATGGTATCCCAGGTGGTTGCTAAGGTGTTGCTAAGCAATTGTTAAGGTATCCCAGGAGGTTGCTAAGGTATTGCTAAGCTGTTGCTATGGAATCTCAGGCGGTTGCTAAGGTGTTGCTAGGCCATTGCTTTAGTATCCCAAAATTATTGGCACCCCTGAAGAATATTTTAAAGAAAAACAAAGAAATGTACATCTTTTGGAAAAAAATCTTTTTTTTTGTTGCTCCTAGTCTGCAGGAACTCCAATGTTGTCTATGACCAATTTTTGTTTACCTGGGGTCTAAATATGAGGTTACACACATGGAACATCCCTTTGACATCCATTAAAAGAGCTGTCAGTTTAAATGAAACAGAGTTTTGGATGAGGAAATGGTTATAGAACATTAGTAGTCAGTTTATTAATTGATTAGCATTAAGCACAGTCAGGGTAATAACAAAAATAGTTTGAAAAGCATAGAACATTTGCCAGGAAGAAGATGCCTGAGCACACTATCCCCATAGACAGTGAGAGGAACCCAAAGATCACAGTTTCAGAACTGCACAGTTTAGCAGAATCTTGTGGTTTTAACATTTTGCAATCCAAAATCCACCTCCATGACCAGAAGCTGTTTGGAAGAGTTCCATGAAAGAAGTCTTTCCTAAGAGCAAGCAACAAAATACAGCACCTGAACTTTGTAAAAATGTGATTAAAACTACAAGCAGGATTGTGTGATGTGGTCAGATGAGACACAATTTGAACTTTTTGGTCATGCACCCCATTGTCTTGGCAAAAAGAGTATAAGCATACAACAAAAAACACCTGGTACTCAGTGTCAGATATGTTAGTGGGTTGTAGATGCTTTTAGGCTGTTTTGCTGCTAGGGGTCCAAAATAAATTCTACAATATACCAGCAGATTTTAGCCCAAAATCTGTTTGCCTCTAGCAAAAGGCTTATACTTGGCTGTGGCTGGACCTTTCAGCAAGATAATGACCCTAAACACACATCAAAATCCACACAGAAATGGTTGGGAACACAAAATCAAAATTTTGCAGTTGCCCTGTCAATTTTCAGTTGAAAACCTGTGGTATGTATTGAAGAAGACCGTCCACAAGTGAAGGAACTGGAAATGTTCTGCATGGAGCGGTGATCTGAGATCCCGTAACAAGTGTTCTCCACAGCTCAGTGCTGATATTCTTGGCAGGGGTGGCTTCAACGAATATTACTAAATGTCACATGTATGTTTTCAAAAAGAACTGTGTTATTAAAGAACACTTTTTTGTTGTTTCAAAACAAAAATATGCAGTTTACCTGTCTGTTTAAGCCCAAAATATTGTTTATTGTATGTGTGGGGGTTATTTAATATATCGGTTTTCATTCATTTCTATGAAGGATGCCAGTAATTCTGCAGTTTTCTGTACATCTCCCAGCCTAATGCTGAACCATCTCAAGCTCCATTTTTCTTACTGCCTCAGTCAGAACTGGAAAACTGCAGAGTTGATATGATCAGAGTTACCGGATCCTCTGCCACTGCTGGTTCTTTCTGGCAGGACAGTCGCTGGAAAGAAATTGCTTGGTCAGATGACGCTTAGCCAGGTCTGTAAATGCCCCCATGTCTGTCTGCAGAATGGTCTGTGCATGGCCTGTGAAGTCAACTCTTCTGTATCTGCTGCAAATTAATTTGATCTCTGTTCAGATCTGTGTTCATGATGGCACAAGCACAGTGTGGTGTTGAATACTTGTTAACTCTTGAATTCAACTTTGTCTTTAAGGTTACTTTTGCTAAAATAATGATGTTGATGTGATATTTCAAATATTCTTACACAAAAAGGCCTTCATGTACACTCCATATAGAGCCATGAACACTCAAAGAACCCTTTGCATGATTAAAGGAGTCTTTGCATTGTGAAAGGGCTCTTCAGATAGATAGAGAATGTGTTGTATATAGTTCTATGTAGAACCTTTTAGAAAAGGGTTCCATATAGCACCAAAAAGGGTTTTTCTATTGTTCCAAGCTTGACATCGTAACTATAGTTTTTTGGTCAGATATAAGCTTGTGGATGATCATCTGTCAGCCTTTTCAAATAAATCTTTTTGATTGCTTACTAGTTTATCTATCTGTTGTGTCCTAGGAATCTTTTCTGGAGTCCCACAAGGTTCAATTTTAGGACCTCTGCTTTTCTCTCTGTACATGCTTCCTCTAAGTAATGTTACTAGGAAATGTGAAATCACTTTTCATAGTTATGCTGATGATTCAATTATACATTTCCATTTCTTCTGAAATTAAAGATTCTGTTGATAGATTTTCCAGCTCTGTGTCAGATATTTCCCAGTGGATGTCAGAACATTTTGTACAAATTGTATAATAGCACTTACAGTTGACTAGGGTTGATCTAGAAGGGTGGAAATTTCAGGAACTGACAGCCCATTATAGCGCTGAATTTAAAGTCACTGGGCTCTTCAGTATGACCCATTCTATTGCTATTGTTTGTCCATGGAGGCTGCAAGGCTATGTGCTTGATTTTATACACCTGTTAGCAGTGAGTGTGGCTGCAGCACCCAAACTCAAAAAGTAGGAGAGGGGAATATCTTGACGAATGAACCAGTAGAGATGGTCCAAACTGGAATACTTACTTGGCCCATTACATGGGTTAAAACGTGTGGAGCAGTAGCTTTAGGAGTGTCACCAGTCTAAAATATAAATATAATTACACCAGTAAGAATGGACATTTTGTTACAAATGAGGAAAAAATGGACAAAGCAAAATACAGGGAGAAACTCCAAAAACATCTGCTTTAATCTGCTAAGAAACCCAAGGAGAATCTCTCAAACCATTAAAAAAATTGTAGTTCATGATCACGATCCAGCTAACCTGAACAACCTGTTGCAAATCTGCCATAAAAGCATTCCAGAACAGAGTTTCTTCCAAATAGTATTGAGTAGAGTTTATTCATGTTTTTAAATATCTGTAATAAAAGCATAAGGGTGAACCAGAATCCAGGATCAGAAGCTAGATTCAAAGTCTGGATATCTGTTTTATTGTATGTGAACCATTTTAGACACTTTTAACTATAAGTCTTTTGAACCCTTTACGAATCTGTAATCATGACACTGACTGATCTGTGCATAACAAGGATGAAACTTGACTGCTGCTCCATCTCTTTGAGATGTCACAGAAGGCTGAGGCATTATTGGAGAATCAAATTCAGTGACAGAACACTACTCAGCAGTAACAGTGCCCTAGCTGATTCAGCTATTCAGAAGTCCTCTAAGTTAGCCGCTCATGCACACGAGCCACTGGATAGTCTACCACACATCTTGCACATGCTCGGGTAACCACCTTGCAGCTTCAGCGCTCACTCCCTCAGTCTTGTTTTTCCATTGTGTCTGCCAACAATCTTAAATGTGGATGAGCTAAACTTGATTGCATGTCTCGCTGGTACCCGCTGAGTATGTCTTTTGATATCTTGATGTCTGTGTATGTTTATGCACCATCAAAATGTATGTTTTATTATTTTTCCAACCTCTTCCATTACCTTGGAATTAAACAGTCTGTATCTTTAAGACTGATACATGTAAATGACCTCTGCTCTGATTGGCTGTCCTCTAGAATGCTTCAATCAAAAGTAGTCTGGGCTGAAATTTTACTTATAACTTCAACATGAATGCATGGAGATAACCTGCTGCAGGCTAAATGGGAGGATATACATAAGTGATTTTCATGACATCACAAGAACAACTACAGAGGTAAAGTTTGTGAATGAACTTTGACAAAGTCTGCAAATAATGCTTCACAATTTAGCTTAATTGGGTTTATATAGTGATTCTGAACAGTTATAATGGTATTCCAGCCTGTTGTTAGGACATAGCTTGGTGGTTGTTAGGTGACTGGTAAGGTGTTGCTAAGCTAAAGCTACGGCATCCCAGGTGGTTGCTAAAGCATTGGTGGACTATTGCTATGGTAACCAAACATCTAAGCTATGGTCCTTAGATGCTAGGCCATTGCTACGGTATCCTATGTGGCTAAGGGGTTGCTAGGCAGTTGCTGTGCTATTCCATGCAGTTGCCACCATAGAAATGGTCTAATAACACTCTAGCAGCCACCTAGAATAGCACAGCAACTGCCTAGCAACCCTTTAGCAATCACTTGGGATACCCTAGCAATGGCCTAGCAACATCTAAGCAACCACCTGGGATGCCACAGCAACAAGTGTTGTTAGGCCATTGCTATGGTATCCCAGGTGGTTGGTGAGGTACTATTAGGGTCTTGCTATGGTATCCTAGGTGGTTACTAAGGTGTTGCTAGGCTGTTGCAGGGTTATTTCAGGTGCTAAGGTATTGCTAGCATACTTGTTTAATGGTGACTTAAGAGGAGTATACAGAAACGTTTGGCTACAGAATGTGTACTGACTGTAGTGAAATAAGAGGCAGAGATATAAGATATTATACATTATAAAATGTATGAATGACCTAGCATGTTGAGAATTTCCCCTTTCAGTCCTGTGGAAAAAAGTGTTTGATCAAAAAAGTGTTTGACATGCACATCTGAAGCTAGTCTGAAATTCAGAGTTAAACGTCTGTGGATTCAGATTATTCTTCTTACTGTGAGTTTCTAACTGATATTCTGTTTTTTTTTAAGACTGAGATAGTACTGGACATGTTATCCCTAAGCGTGAACAGCTGTTCACTATTGTCTTTTTCTTTATCATTCTGTTTTAACTGGCCTGTGGTGGTGAACAATGACGCAATGAAGATATCAGCTGATCTCTGTAATGAAGATAAAACACACAGTGGAAAGGAAGTGTCATATCAATTGGTTTTATCAAATAGCTTTTCAGTTTTAGGAATCCACATTAAGAAAACTCGCAAATATAAATTATGTGACATATACACACTTGTATGACAAACATACAAAGTCAAACAAAATATTATCTCTTTTTAAGAATGCTGCCTGAAGTGCTCATAGCTGCTCATTTGTAGACATTTCAATGCATGTCCAGTTTACATATCTGTGGATGCAAAAAAAGGACAGTACAGTACAATACAGTGCCAGTTTCCTTCCTTTTACCTTAGAAACAAACGGTTATTTGGTCTAATGACTATTAGTTTTAGAATATTTAGAAATTAGGATTCTGATTATTAGATGGCAATATGTTAACACATCCTCTACATAGAACAAGCTTATGACATAGAAAGTGCCATAACCTTTGCATAGGCACAGGTTATTGTTACCCCAGTATGTCAAATTCACTAAAGAAAACAGTAATTGTGTATTACAATATGCAGAAGTGTGTTCTCGGCAGAGGATGTGTTAACTTATTCACACTTAAAAATGTAATTTGACCAGGGGTCCTAAAACTTTTGCCTTCGCTTTGAATTTGTACTTGCGCTTTGAATTCTGTATTTTTACAAAGTTCAGTACCATTTATATAACTTACTCTCTTTATTATTACTTATAGATCTTGTGATCTTTTTTATGCAATGTATAATATTTATATGTGTTATTATTGAAGTAATTGAATACATTTGTATTCAGTTCCAAATACACAACTTCGAGTCATGTAGGATTCCTGCAGGCATTCCTAAAGTGGAAACCATAATAGTGAAAATCATTTCATTGCGATAAGCAATTAATGAAAAGAGTTGAGTTTCAAAATACTGATGGAGGTTTCACACTAAAGTATGTAGAGAAATAGAAATGGGATCTATTCCCAACATAAGGCACTATTCAGACCACATGTGTCAGGCTCCAGTCCTTGCAGGCCAAAACTCGGCAGACTTCAACATAGTGTCTCATTAAACACACCTGATTTAGCTCAACAGCTAATTAGCCAGACCTTCATGAACTGAATTCAGAGTGTTAGATGAGGGTAAACAATGATCTCCACAGCACTTTGGCCTGAAAGGTCCCAGTTTGACATGCCTGATTTAGACTACACTTGAACTATGTTAATTAGGGCTGGGCTGAATTGTGGCAGTTTTCAGCCTTTAGCCAATGTCACCTGGGTATAACATGATTTTTATAGCCTAACATCACATGCATCGTTCAGTAACTGCCATTTTTCTCCTGGTTTTATGATGAAATGTTTTGTTTAAAACAGTTTAAAATACATTATTCCAGCCAGCCCCAGTGTTGATGGGGTAGTTGGATTTATTAAGTTCATTACTGTTGGACTCTTAAGCTTCCTGGGCTGCTTTGAAAGAAAGAATTTATATATAAATTTTATGCAACGGTGGCCCTGCATTTAGCTGCAAAAGACCACGAGTAATGCTTCTGATTTGGTAGTTATCCCCCTGTTCCTGTCAGAACAGAACCATCCTGTAGAAACTGTAGAAATTTCATAATAAAAGAACTTCTGGGGTTCTTCTGTGGTTAACTGTGGCTATGTACTGAAACATCCGGACTATTCATCATAATTAAAGCATGTTAACAATGTATATCCTGTGCTAATGCTATATTGAAAGCTGTGTAAACATATGTTTCTGGGGATTCCAAAGATTTCAAATTTCCAGCATGGTGTAAACAAAGTCATTCAGAGTGGTTTGGTGTGAAATGATCCGTTCTAGAGAAACCTACCAAGTCAGAATTGTTCACAGTGGTGGGGATAGGAACCAGACGACCACCTCTAAAAGCTTCCCTCACAGAAAGTTATTACATGATGTCTGATATTTGACACATTGTTTTATACAGATCCGCAAAGGTGACACTTGCCATTCCTTATTAAAAATAATCATCATGTCACATCGTCACCATGGCTCCGCAGATTTACAATAGTTCTGAAAAGGTATTTTTTTAGATTGTAAAGTAAGTTTCTCTCCATCAAACTGCTTTACATCGAACCACTCTTAATGACTGTTCACATCTCAAACATTGAATTATACAGCAACTTTACAAAATAAGTGAAATTCCCCTTTAAAGTGGCACACATACATATGACATATTTTGGGACTGTGCATGTTCCTGAAATGATCTAAAATTGATTTTATAGTTGCCTTAGTCTTGTTTCTTTGCATTTTGAAGGAACTTTAAATGAACATCACATTTACAAAGTATTATTGTAGAAAGGCCTGCGTACCTAAGTGAACAGCATTCACAGAATATATAAATATATTTGCATAGCAATTAAGTCAAACCAAAAAACAAATGCACACACAACCAAACAAAAGTACAGACATGAAATGCCCTCTAATTTTGTGCTCTGACATAAAAAAATATACAAGAAGACATTTTCTGTCAAACTGGTAATTAAGAATGGCAGTTTCTGGGGGAAGGTGAAAAAAAAGGATCTCAGACAACGTCCCAGAAGGTGACGGACCAGAAATGGTAGGTTTCCTTACTTATTTGGCAATATTTGCCCATTATTCTTGTTTATGGTCTATTTTTTCCTTTTAAATATGCTCATTACTCCAATTTCAGGAAACATATTTCCGGTAAGTGATCTCCGTCTTTGCTTCTCAGAACGGTAGAGTATCCATGAAGATTTTCTCTACAATAGGGGGTGGAGGCACCAGGTTTTCCAACTTCAGGTAAAAGATACGCTGCAGGCCCTGAGTGCACAAAGTCCTCAGTTCGGGCAGTTTGCTGAGTAAGCGTGACAGGTTGAGCTGAGGTCTGCTGTGGTCTGTGCTGCTGCTGCTGCTGCTGCTGTTGATGTGATCTCTCAGACATGCGACCAGGCGGTTTTGAAGCTCCTCCACACGTTTTGGTTCCTTCAGACCGTGGCGGTCTGCAAAGAAGGTGGAAGTCAATGGTGAGGAAAGATTTAAGAGCAAATAAAGCCACTGAACACTTTATTAGGGCTGAACAGCAGCTAAAGTGTGAACAATTTTAAAAGGCAATTCCAAAATTTCCACATAATTCAATGTTTGAGATGTAAACAGAGTGATTCAGAGCGGTTTGGTGTGAAATGGTTCAGACTTCTTTACAATGGTGGTGATAGGAACCAGTGGTCACCATGACTACAACACAAATATAGCCATTTTATTCACTATCCAAAACCACCAGTGAACCTATATGTGTCTTCTGAATTTTATATGGAATGCGGAAGACGGTAAAATAGTGATAAATCTGAACAAATATGTTTTTCTATTTTGCCCTTGAACACTCTGCACCGTGAACAGATTTTTGAAAAATACATTTTAGGTGAGATATCAGGCATTTGTTAATTAATTAACAAATGAAATATACAGACATTTTGAAAAATTGGTCATAATCCCATCTGTAAACGTGTATGAAAACATGGTGTCTCAATTTAATACACTTCTCAGTGTCTCTCAAAAACAAGTGCGTCTGAAAATGTGGCTTTTATATATATATATATATATATATATATATATATATATATATATATATATATATATTTTTTTTTATACAACCTAATCTTTCTGACTCGTTAAGATTCTCTAGAACGCAGTATTTCACACCAAACAACTCTGACTTTTTTACTTCTAACTATACTTTAGTATTAAAAATTGACATTATGCAGCCCCACACTACAGTTTAGGCACTTGCGTATAAACATTTACTTTATTCTAGTGAGCTGCTGAGGGGTCTCACCTGTGATGATGACAAGAGCTGCCAGGCAACAGAAAGTTGTTACATCCAAGCTCATGCGATGGAGGCTGTGGGAGAAGTCCATGATCGAATCCAGCCAGTCGCCAAATCCTCGTGCGCACTGCAAGCGGTGCAGCACCACACCATTACAGAAGATCAGTTTATCCTCCTCAGGATTTGTTCTGAAATCACAAGCACAAGAGTACAGTTCTCATTTCTGGTCACACGCCACATGCATGAATGTTGAGGACCATCAGGATGGTGGGACTGTTTTACCTGTAAGCTATTCTTAGTATGAAAAGCTCCACGAAGGCAGACTCCAGCAGGAGCTCCTGGTCCTCTTGACAGAAGGCGCTGAATCCAGGTATTGTCTCAGCCCATTTCTGTATAACCTCCATGGTCCCGGTGAGAAGGTCATAGAACAGTTGGATGTCGTTGGCGTCCTCCTTTTTAGACAGGCTGGACACATCTTCCTGATACTGGACAGAATGGAAGTCAGTGTTAAAATGAGAACCTTTACATTTGGCCTGGAGGTGTTTCTCCGGTTCTTGTGGAGTCTGAACTTCACATTAATCCCCTGATTGTTTTATCAGCATCTGTGACACTGTATTTATTAAAGCTGTAACAATACAAGGTATTTTTTGTATATTGTACTGTAGCGTATTGTATTCTGTCATATTGTATTGTGGCCAGCTTGTTAGCTCACTGTAAAGAAATCTGAACCATTTCACTACAAACCACTCTGAACGACTCTGTTTACATCTCAAACACTGAACTATGGAGGAATTTTGAAGAACACTGTCAAAGACTATTAATTTAGAGAGATGTTCAGTGTCCTTACCTTGGAGTAGTCCAGTTTTCCCAATACAGGACTGGAGTCAAGATGAGCCCTTACAAGAGAGGCAATAATGTTCACAGGCTGAGCACTGTCTGGAACGTTCTTAGGCTTTGAAGGCAGACGTCCTCGTCGCCCTTTAAGGCTGTCTGTACGCACGACTGAAATTGGAGAAGAGTTCATTAGCAAACAAGTGCATAACATACTGTTTTATTAACTGCAATAACATTTTGCCAATCAGAAAAGTGTGGCGGAATTCTATATTATTACTCAGTCGTAGCTCATGATTTGAATTTGAATATATTTAAAATATGTTGGCATGTTGTTATCATTTCTTGACATCCAAACAAACAGAAGCAAGCTTAAAGTGAAGACTCAAATCTGTCAATATAGAATGTAAATGTAGCTTAACTAACTATGTGATTAAATATGTAATTATATGATCAAAGCAGATTGAAAGCAATAACTCTAGACCTCCAAGGGTTAACAAGCAGGTTAACAGGTGTTCACGTTTACCTTCTTTGACCATTCCCACTGCAAGGCACTTCTGAAAACGACAAAACTGGCACCGGTTGCGCCGCCGCTTGTCGACTGGGCAGTCCTTATTGGCAAGGCAGACGTATTTAGCGTTCTTCTGAACGGTGCGCTGTAAAAGAAACCAAAAAGAACCGTAAGATATTTGAAGCATAAATCTAAAGGAGAACAAATATGAGAACAGCATTTTGGTGGTTCGCTTTAGGTTTATGGAATAGCTCACCTTAAAAAATCCTTTGCAGCCTTCGCAGGTGCGTACCCCGTAGTGCTGACAAGAGGCACTGTCCCCACAAACTGCACAGTGGCCTTCATTTGGGCTCCGGGTTTTCGCGGACGGATGAGATTCACGCCTTTCCTCCTTTAGCATTGGACTATCCAAGGCCCTGTGGTCAAGCTCCAGGGCCTGGAAATGCAATGGAGATGTGTGGTGAAGTTGGGACAGCTGTCCAAAAGCATTCTCTTCCCCGATGTGCAGTTGGTGATCCCCAATGGGTGACTGCTGCTGCTGCTGCTCCACTGCCGTGTTGAACGTAAAGAAGGAGGGCTGCTGGGGAACTGCGTTGACATCTGACACCCAACAGCCAGGAGCAGAAGAATAGGGGCTGAACGGGGTGTCCCAGGCCGAAGCAGACTGGGTCTGGAACCCTGGGGTGGAGGGCGATGCAGTGGCTGAAAGGGGGCTGCCGTAGTAGTCAGATCCACAGGAGGACACCGTTTCATCCAGGTAGCCGAAGGAAAAGGTGCCTGGGTAGCAGCCGTAGACCTGTACGTCGTCCAGTTTGAAGGGCGACTGCTGGTCACGTGGGCTTGAACCTTCAACTAAAGCGTGGCTGATGTTGCTGGCTGAGACAGAGGCAGTGAACTGGCAGGAGAAGGTGTCAAGCTCACCAGCTTGGTTGTCCACTAGAGTGTTGATGCCAGGCAGCGATGGTGGGGACAGCTGCTCCGTCTGGCCGCTGAGGTCCATGCCCAGCTTGGTGGAGATTCCTGAATTTAGGAAATCGGGGCTGAAGTAGTTGTTTTCATAAGGCAGAGCTCCATACTGGGTCTCAACACAAGGCATTGCTGCAGCTGCAAATATATACCGATAATTACTATTGACTACTGAATATTTTTAATAATTATCACAGCAGAATTGACTAAGATTAGGGATGCACTGATACTGGAATTGTTGGCCAATGGCAATATCTGTACATATCTACTGATGCTGATATATAAGCCATTTATAAAATGTAGAAATTGGGATCAGCATTATAGACAAATATAGCATTTATTTCTGTAGAGTGATATGCAGCAAATGCAGTATACATAAAAAGAAATACAGATATTTTAGCAGAGTAACCCAGTGTCAACTAAATATTCTGCTCTCCAGAATGCATCAAATATTGGTTTGAAATATTGGTCAAATCTAAAAGTATCGATGCTGATACTTTTTTAAAAGCAATTATCTGCCGATACCAATACAATTCCGATATTATCGTGCATCCCTAACTATTATAATTATGCCCTACAGACATGTCATCAGCGTTGAAACAAAATCTTGTAACTTAATAGAAAAAAAATATTATTAATGTAGTAAGAATTTACTTCAAGTAATTTTGGACCAACTTTCAATAAATAAAGGAGCCAAAAAGGGTTCTCAATGCCACAGAAGGACCATTTGTGGTTCCCTAAACCTTTTAATGATAATCATTTTTGTAAATGATGTGTGAAGAATATTTCTACAGTTTAAAGAATCTCCAAAGAGTGCATGAAGATTCTACACCAATAAAAGGAATGGAACCAGATGTCCAGGCCAAGGAACCTGCATTTTTAAGAGTGTCCAAAATGAAACAGTGCAGTTGTGAAGAGGTTTTGACACAACAGTGAAAATTTTGCTGGATGTTGGAAACACTTTGCTGGATGTTGGAAACACTTTGTATTTCTAAAATGGCAACTTTACAGAAGAAGAAAAAAACATATTGAACTGTAATGGAAGTTAATGTAAAAAGATGTTTTTCCAATTAATCTTGGACCATTTCTGTTTGTCCATTTGTTGCAATATTTGCTCATGGTATTAAAGACAGCTTATATTTTTACATTACGTCAGAAAATGAAAAATAGAGATATAAGGTTTGTTTTGACAGCGTTCATTTGCATGATGAGATCTGTCACCACCCCCGTTCGCATGCACAACTTCACAACTCTTGTGGAAGTGTCACTTCAGAGGCATCTTAACACCTCTCGGCAGCAGCTATCGCAGCTCCTGGGCTACTGCTGTGCCTTTTCAAACCTCGCCGAAATTCCAGGAAAAGCTTAGAGAGCCTGCTGTGTACGGAAAGATAGTCTTGCCTGAGGAGATTTTATTACCAGCCCTTAACGCTCAAATCCCCGCCCCCAGTTATAAACACACTCTCTACCCCAGTCCTGTAAGACTGACGGCATTTAGGAGAACATGGAGCTGGGTTTCAGATGCGGGCAACGGGCCAAGCAATGCAGAGAGGGTGAGAGGGCCGCCGTGGGGGGACTGAGCTGGAGGGGAGTAGTAAAGACAGGTTGTAATTATCAGTGAGTCTTTTGAGTATTATTAATAAACTCAGTAAACTTGGCGATACGCTGTCAGAAAAAAGGGCACCAACAGTGTAAATGTCTCCTCAGTGGTACAACAATGATGTTATGGTTGTAAAACTACATTACACTTTACCATATCTGTACCTTGTTATTACTTAAAGAGGAGCTCCACTGATTTGAAAGTAGTTTGGTGTGAAATGGTTGATTATAGAGACTCAGATTTCTTTACAGTGGAGGTCTGCTAGGATTATATTTAAAATGTTTTAGTCCAAAATCTTCTCAAAACTATCGTAAAACAATGTCTTAGTCATCAGGCAGCATATTCATATCATATCATTTCATGTACTAACTTTCTGTGAGGGAGCTTTTAGAGGTGGACATTTGGTTCCTATCACCACCACTGTGAACAGTTCTGACTCTAGAACAGAGCATTTCACACCAAACCTCTCTGAACGACTTTGTTTGCATCTTAACCATTTAACTAGATAGAAATTTTGAGAGATTGGTGGAATTCCCCTTCTTTTTAAACAGAAAAATAGAGTCTGCCATAGTAGTAATACTTCATCTGTTGTCGGACGAAAACCTCATTTGTCTAAAATGGTAACTTTACAGGAGAAGGAAAAAAACACACTTTACTTTTAATGTAAGTCAATAGAACCAGACTTTTTTCCAAGTCATTTTGGGCAGTTTCTTTTAGTCCATGAAGTCATCATGAAATTTACACACAATATAAAGGACAACAGGCATTTTCAGATTATGTCAAAAACTGAAAAACGAAAAAAAAATGGAGATACGAGGTTTTCTTCCAACAGCAGCGATATGTATGGGCATGTTAATGTCTAGTGAGTATCTAGTTGTATATATATAGTGTATTATGACTTCTGTATCTGCAATTTATTAGGCTAACAGGTTGATCCACTTTTTGTTGACAGCTTTGTTATTTCAGATGATGAATGCAGCTAATCCAGCTGACCTTTTGACCTCTGTGGAAGGCATCCACATCACACGGTTGTTTCATGACCAGTGAACATGCATCATGCGAGCACGTAGTCAAATACTTACACACATAATAAACTGTGGACAAGAGCAGCATGCCACCAAGACATGTGATAGCCCTTACTGCCATCTATAGGGTTAACGCTCGTCACCAAGTATGTGCTTGGCATTATAAACCCAGTGACCAGCAATGGGTGGAAAGAATTACGCTGCACAGTAAATCTGAATAGCTTCATCTGAGTTATGATAGCAACTAAATGAAGGACTTATAACCCAATGAAGCACTGAAATGTGCACACAGTGTATGGCTGTGTGTAAAACAACTCTAAATTATGCTGTATTGATTTTAGTAAAAGTCCAACTCCTCCACAGTGAAATAACAACATAAAATATGAAATGTGCCATAACTTTTACACAGGCCCACATTCTCAGCATGTTTGATTCAAACGTGACAAGGCAGTCGATCAGCCTTGTCACGTTTGCTGTCTGAAGATTGCTTCTTTAGTTTTAGCACTGGAGCTACAAGCCTAATGTAGCTAACAAGTCATCCAAAAGCCTCATAGCTCCGATGCTAAAGCTAAAGAAGCAAACTTCAGACACCAAATGTGTCTAAACCAGCTGACTACATTGGGTCTGATTGGTGAAAAAAGAGCGAATAGTACTGCAGGTCCTTGTTATGGAGGCATAGTCTTCAATATACCTGTCTGAAGACACGCTGTTCAATCACTACATTAGCATGGGCTAGCATTAAAGCAGGGCTGTTCCCCAAAAAAACACACATTAGGTTCTTATTGTTCTTTTGAATTAGTCTTTTTTAAGTTTTTTAGTAACAAGACACAGCATATCCTAAAAAATGCCTTCAAAAACATGGTTTGAGACCTACCTGCCTCATCCACTTTTGTATTATGTTATCTTTTTTGGCCCTTGGCCCAGTCACACTTTTTTTTGAGCACTCTTATTCAAAAATGATGAAATTCTATATTGGTGTATCTCTAATAGTACACATTTTTATACTTTTATCCACAATAAAATTTGCTCAATTTGGGCAGAAATCAGTCCAGTGTGACCCCACTGTGACCAAAGGAATGAATATAACAGGATAAGTGCTCAAAACTCACTTTTTATCCTTTTTATCCATATGATACATAAAATTTTAGTTATTAAATCAACTCATCAAGAGAAATATATTTTCATAACATATATAACTGATTAAGTTCAAAATGTCTACTTTCGAGCTATTACAGTAACAGCATGTAGGGCTGGGCTATATAACCATTTATATCATTATAATTACGTCACAATACAATACAGTATGCTGTGAACATATTGTGCACGTTTCATTATAAACAGAGCAAAATTAGTCCTGTTTTATTGCATTTAGTGCCAAATATTGAGTAAAAATTATTGCAGTCACACTTTTTGATTGTATTTTTTTAAGTTGGAGCACTACTGGTTCTGTTCCAACTGATCAAATGTCTGAAAAAATTAAATATCGTAAAAGCTTCTTTGAGTATCACAATATTATATTCGTGCCATATCGCCCACCTCTGTTTTACAGAATGTAAAATACATTTTTGACAACTCCTTGGCCCCCTGCCCACCACAAACACTGCACTTTTGGCCAAAAAGTTAGGCCACCTCTGGTCTAAAGCACTCTAAGGACAAACGCCAGAGCACTGCTAAGGCTCACACGGTCTACAGTCTACAGGAGAGGTGACTCCATTACAACCAAAACAGTAACACACCCACTTCACATTCCACACTCCACTGCATTGCTTTAGACACTGTAGACAAGCGCAGTTAGCACAACAACAGCGCAACAGGTTGACAGCGTGAGACTAAAACTCAATTTCTCCGTTCCACCTTAAATCGCTCAGCAGTTACATTAACGCGCCTGAATGTAACTTCTGCGCCATTTAAGGTGGAACGGAGAATTCTCAACAGAACATTTCTGTGAAAACTTACCTTTGTGAAAACGTCAGAAAAGCACAAACTCTCTTTAATTCCAGCCAGACAGAGAGGAGAAGCTGAGCAGCCGCAGGTCCCGTCTCATCTCCAGAAGAGAAACAGTGCGCGAGCTGCCCGCACCTGACGTGCCATTCAATATATTTTTGCCGTTACGTCGCACGACGGGGGGCGTGGTCTCGCCGTATATGGACACCGAAGAGGACGCCTTTCCGGGTAGCCGGCCAATCCGCTCCTTCGCACGTGATGACGCACGCGCGACCGGGATTCCATTGACGCAAAAGACGGCGGAACCCGTGTGATCTAAAAATAGCGCTCAGACGTACACGACGCAGGAGACGCGCGAGGCTATTACTGCCTGGAATGGCCTATAAATAAACGTCAAGCGATGATGACATTGTAGGTCCGAAAAAAAAGGAAAAGAAAGAGGCCGGTACGAAAATTAACACCTGCTTAAATGTTTTTTAGGCCGCCGTGCCAAAGTGACCATGACCGCTTGGAAGAGGAAGCAGCGCTCTGGTTGGGTTGATGCACGCGGGCTGTTGACGTTTGCTGTTGTTTTCCTTGCACTTTTATTTCCATACAGAATGCGGTTGAGGACAGAGCTGGGTAATGTAGCCTTAAAGGGGAATTCCACTGATTTTTCTGAATTTCTCTTTAATTTAGCCTTTGAGATGTAAACAAAGTCGTTCGGGGTGTTTACAGGCGTTTAACTCTTCACAATCCTGACTCATTAAGCTTCTCTGCAATGGAGCGTTTCTCATCAAGCCCATCTGAATGACTTTGTTTACATCTTAAAGGGGAATTCCAGCTGTTTCTCAAAATTGCTGCGTTCAGAGTGGTTTGGTGGGAAAGTAAATAAAATAGCTATATTTGTGTTGTAGACACAAATGTGTGGAGTCCTGGTCTCTATCACCAGTGATCCCACGGGTCTTCTGACCTTTTATATGGAATGTTGATGATAGTAAAATAGTCATTAATCTGAAATAATACGTTTTCTTTGGGGACTGCTTTGCTCACAACACCCTACACATACCCCTCTACCATTAACAGCTCCTATAAAATACATCATACCAAAAACTATCATAAAACAGTGTGAAAACAGACATCAGGCGAATCAGCGTATTCATGCCCATCTCATTTAATAGCTTTCTGTGTAACTTTTAGAGGTGGACGTCTGGTTCCTATCACCACCATTGTGAAGAATTCTGACTCTAGAGTGGAGTGTTTCACACCAAACCACTCTGAATGACTTTGTTTACATATTAATAGGGGAATTCCACCTGTTTCTCAAAATTGCTGTTAAGGTGTAAGTCATTCAGAGTGGTTTCATTCAGAGAAATGGTTCATTGTGGAAAGAGATTTCTTCACAGTGGTGGTGATGGGAACCAGGGGTCGTCATGTCTTCAACACAAATATAGCCATTTTATTTACTATCCAAAACCACCAGTGAACCTACATGTGTCTTCTGAGTTTTATATGGAATGTTGATGGTAGCAAAATAGTGATAAATCTGAAATTATAAGTTTTCTTTAGGGCCTGTTTTGTCTCACAATACCCTGCATATATCCCTCCACCGTGAATTTAAAAAGATACGATTTTCGGCCAAAACCTTCTCAGACCTCTTGTAAAACAACATGTCAGGCATCAGACAGTGTACTCATAACCATTTCATGTAATAATTTTCGGTGAGGGACCTTTTAGAGATGGACATCTGGTTCATATCACCAGCATTGTGAACAATTCTGACTCAGTTAGTTTCTCCAGAACGGAGCATTTCACACCAAACCTCTCTGAATGACTTTGTTTACATTCTAAAAAGGAATTTCACCATTTTTTCAAAGTCAGTAAGTATCTCTGCAATGAACCCTTCTACATCAAACCACTCTGGATGATTTTGTGTACATCTCATCTGCTGAATTATGCAGAAAATTTGCAAAATCAATTGAATTCCCCTGTTATCGTGTAATTATGCAGAGCTGTTATGCAGAGAGTTGGTGGAATTCCACTTTAAAGTTGCTACTTCAGTGAAATAATGACTGAAGTAGAAGTTAAAGTAAGCTACAACTTCAATATACATATAAAAGTGGCAACATGTGGAACTAATTGAGATTAAACTCAACAAAGCAATTAGTAACTGCACATTGATGACTCACATATAACACAGCACACTCTCAGAAATTAAGGTATTAAACAGTCACTGGGGCAGTACCCCTCTTGTCACTGGAGTGGGACCCTCATGGGTTCATCTCAGTATCTTTGGTCAGGGAACATACTTGTACCATAATCCATTGAAATGATATTTTCTAAGTTGTATTGACTCCACACACCCCATCTCGTCTCCAGGCTTTTTATTTCATTGTTCTGTTTTAAAAGATTAGGTTATGAAAAGATACAAATATGTACTTTTCACCTTAAAACCACTGTTGTAGCTTTGAGGTACATTTACATTGTTCGTACCTTGATGAATGAAAAATGCACCTGCACAGAACCTTTATTTTTAACAGTGTAGAAAAGTAGATTACTTTCCTCGCAGGAGAATGTGCTGTAGATGGTTTTATATGGCACTTTATATATATATATATATATATATATATATATATATATATATATATATATATATACACATACATAAAATGCATAAAATGTGGCCTGTGCAATAGTCTTATGGCACATTTTATATCTTATGTTTTTCCAATACGCAAAGATATGCCATATTTGAGTGTATTTATTGTGAAAGAACCACTTTATGACCAATTTTTCCTCATCATACTAATTTTAGTTGATGGACATTAATTAACCTCTTAAATAATCAGGGCTGCCAGCAGGCCCAAAGTTTATTACACACTTCTGAAACCTAAGAAAAGCTCAGTGAGTTTGTAATGAAGTCCCTGTAGTTACTCAATAGTAAGCCTGAGTATGTAATAAGGCTGGGAATTTAAATGGGTTAAGTTAACTAATGCTGTTGCGTAATAATGTGATGTGGTCATAAAGTCAAGATACTGGAAATTGGTGATGAAAGTGCTCTCTAACGTAAACACTGGGCTGTAATGGGGATCTCTTTTCTTCTTCTTCTTTTTTAAAAATCTCCTTTTTTGCGCATTTTCCACCAGCTTGACTTTCTCACATTACTCATACAAATCTGGATTAACATGTGAAGCAAGTGTCTGAATTTCATCTGACTGAACTGAACTGAACTGAACAATCTTCGATCTTTGTTGATTTTGATTAATTTAAAAGTATTTTTTTTTTCTTTAAAGGTTAGTACAGTCTGTTTATATTCAATTAACTTAATAAATTAGTAATTGTGGCATGTCCAAAAGTTCTTGACACCTACTAACGTTCCATATAGAACGCTTCTAGTTCTGCGATATTCTTGTGCCGTCTTGTTTAAGATCAACTCACAGATTTTCAATGATGTTTAAGTCAGGGGCTGTGAGGGCCATTCCAAAAGCTTCAGCTTGTGTTTCTTGAAGAGGTTTATGGCAGGCTTGGAGAAATGTTTCAATATTGTGCTGTTGTGTAAGCCAGCTTCTTTTCAGCTTCAATTTCTAGACTGTGTCACATTTGCCTCCAGAATTACATCTATCCGTGCTGTTTCTTGAGCCACTGGCTGCCACACAACACCAAAGCATAATGGACCCACCCTCATGCTTAACAATCAGCACGGTGTTCTTTTCATCAAATGCTGACCTTTTTTCTCCAAACATACCTTTAGTGACTGTGGCCGAAGAGTTCCATTTTTTACTTCATCAGCCTGCAGCACTTTATTTTGCATACTTTAGACGTTAACTTTTGAGATGAGGTCGCAGGTAAAGCTTCCTTCTGATGACTTTTCAATGCAGATCATGTGTGTGAGAGCAGCGCCGTACAGTAGAACAGTTCACCACCATTCCTGTGTCAGTGAGACCTTCCTGCAAGTCCTTTGCTGTCATGTGGGGGTTTTGCTTTGCCTTTCTGGCAGCATACAAGCAGTTGTATATGAGAGTTTTCTTGGTCTTCCAAATCTAAAAAATATCTTTATAGGGTAAATATGTTTTGCTCTGTTTATATTGTTAATGTTGTAAAAGATGAAGTTTATATATTTTGTCTTTAGTATTATTTATATTGTTGATATGGTAATAAGTAACAAACTGTAAACTTGTTAAGTAATAAATAAGGTTAATACCATTTTTGTTCATTCTCTTCTTGATACTTTGTTTTGGGAGTGCCCTTCTATCCCTTTGCTGCTGTAGCACTGTGAATTTCCCCCATTGTTTGACTAATAAACGATTATCTTGTCTTGACTTCCACAGTTCCCCTTAACTGCCATTTCTTAATTACATTTTAGACAGTGGAAATTGAGAGCTGGATGTGCTTTGATATCTTTGTAGGCATCAATTATCCTCTCAGTTTTGGTCCTGTGGGGGTCCTGACCATTGAGGAATGAGGTAAAATGGAGTAAGATATTATCCAGAGAATCAGATGGACTATAAAGTGCTCCTATATGGTAATTGGATATAAAAAAGTCAGTGTAGACACAAAGTAGGTAGACCTAACAAAGTAATTAATTGAGTGTTTGTTGTATATTAATTTACATTTAAACAAACTCAAAGCCCTTTATTTTGAACACTGTAATCAGCCCAAAGTGACTTCTGGATTCAATTTCACTGGGACATGAAGTCGAATAGCCTTCAATCTGGAAGCCACACAGATGGGAAGCCTACTGACAGTACTCCTCCATGAAAGGCCAAGATTCAACATTCATTTAGTGCTGCATTAATTGCCACTTGAATCCAGTTGTCTTAAAACTAAGCTGCGTTTCACCCAAACTGAAATATATTTAAAAATGCACGGATGACCATATTTGGCGAGTGATTCCTCAGACAGTTGCGCAAGAGCTCTTTAGAGATGTGTTGGGTGTGTTCCAGTTCATGACACTTGCGAGGCTGAGTGTGAAAAACTTGAACGCCCACACAATTGCACAGCGTGCAGTTTCACTACAGCTTCACCCACAAACATGATGGGACACGTTTGTGGCTTAAACCACTCAAATAGGCAGTAAATCAGTGTGTGGCAGCCAACAAATGAACTGGAGGGACCACTTTACAGTAAGACTAGACTTATAAAGTG